AAAAAAAAACAACAAACACTTCTTTAACAACCAAATAATCTCTTACAGCTACGAACAAATCGAAATGCAACACAGTCTCAAATGTTCGCAAATGAAATAATATGTAATTTGAGATTGATCAAACAAAGACTGCTCACCGTTCTGCTCACATTCAACAGATTCACTAAATCAGTTTTATCCTGCTTGAAAGTGAGTTCTCGAATGAGTTGTCCACCTAGTGTGCTATCAGCGTGAGCACAAAAATCGCTCAACAATTTCACTTTACTACCGAATTTGCAAATGGCCAATTGACCCACTTCGAGTTGTCGTAATGCACTTCCGATAACGCATACACTCTGACATGCCATCTGCAAAACATCATCACGTATTTCGTTGTAAACACCAACAAATTCCAATCATTAATTCAAAAAATACAATTCCATTCATTCCAGTTTCTACTGATTTCGTGTTAAAACTGAAGCGCAATTTTGCTTAAACTGGAAGTGGCTCCAAACAATTTACGAAATAAACAACGACCAATCACGAACCCACGAATAACCCGTAAAATCATTTCAATCAAATCAGTTTTGCACTGAACTCACCAGATTCATATTGTTGTCATCCATNAATAGCAAAACATTTTTCAGGCCCAATGCTCTCGTATCGCCCCCTTCAACACGGCCACCACAACACTCAGTTTGAGTATTTAGAGCAGAACTGGCGCATGATACTCATTTACTTATACCTGTACTACAAATAACTATCAATTCTTATTAAATTCACTTTACTACCGAATTTGCAGTTGTCATCAATGACAATTGAATTATTATTATTATTCCCAATGAAATTCTTTGGCATACAGTTAACTGAAGCATAATTCGATGTTGATATTTTGCAATTACCAATGAAACTATTCCAAAGGAATCGATCAAGATTCTCGAAAAGAATCGTAACATACTCAAGTCTCGATGCTATTGTTGGCTCGATAATCATTCGTAAATTCTCAGCCAATTCAGCAGACAACACCGATAGCGATTCACAAATTCTGCTCCACCGTTCTTCGGCCATTCGATCCGATTCGGCCACTTCTTCATCATCACGTACACTCAACGCTGCTATGTCAGGCGCCATTGTTGCAATATCCGCCTTAACAAGCATATATCTTATTCTCACAGCATTCGATACACATCAACAATCTCTGAACGATTCTAGACGATCAAGCGAATGCACTCGAACATAGCAGTTTGATGAACATACCAGTTGATAGAGATTCGTTGACGTATGGATAACTGGAGCATAATTCGATGGTGATAATTTTGAACTGCTTTGCTCACTTTTTTCAACTTCATTCTCCATACTCTCTCCTTGTTCCTCTTCATCATCAGGCATTTCTCTGATCAAATCGTCACTCTCCTTTAACACCAACAAAACATTTTCAAATGGAATAAGTAAAGTCCAGTTATTTCAACTTATTTGTCTACATTCTTAAACTAAACATTCTCTGCAAGTTGTCTACTAAACTACCTCAACCCTGTTACCAACACATCGTTATAGAATTCACAAATAGAACTCAAGTACTCAACAATCACGATTCATCCCTATCACAAATACCAAATCTTTTACTAGCTGTACTTCTTTTCTGTTTTGATAATCATCATATAAGTCACTACTAAAACTTTATATGATC